CTGCTGATGTTCAGGTGTATATCAGTATGTAGTGTCTCTACTTTAAAGAGTCCTCTCCTGCTGATGTTCAGGTGTATATCAGTATGTAGTGTCTCTACTTTAAAGAGTCCTCTCCTGCTGATGTTCAGGTGTATATCAGTATGTAGTGTCTCTACTTTAAATAGTCCTCTCCTGCTGATGTTCAGTTGTATATCAGTATAGTTTCTCTACTTTAAAGAGTCCTCTCCTGCTGATGTTCAGGTGTATATCAGTATGTAGTGTCTCTACTTTAAAGAGTCCTCTCCTGCTGATGTTCAGGTGTATATCAGTATGTAGTGTCTCTACTTTAAAGAGTCCTCTCCTGTTGATGTTCAGGTGTATATCAGTATGTAGTGTCTCTACTTTAAAGAGTCCTCTCCTGCTGATGTTCAGGTGTATATCAGTATATAGTGTCTCTACTTTAAAGAGTCCTCTCCTGTTGATGTTCAGGTGTATATCAGTATGTAGTGTCTCTACTTTAAAGAGTCCTCTCCTGCTGATGTTCAGGTGTATCAGTATATAGTGTCTCTACTTTAAAGAGTCCTCTCCTGCTGATATTCAGGTGTATATCAGTATGTAGTGTCTCTACTTTAAAGAGTCCTCTCCTGATGATGTTCAGGTGTATATCAGTATGTAGTGTCTCTACTTTAAAGAGTCCTCTCCTGATGATGTTCAGGTGTATATCAGTATGTAGTGTCTCTACTTTAAAGAGTCCTCTCCTGCTGATATTCAGGTGTATATCAGTATGTAGTGTCTCTACTTTAAAGAGTCCTCTCCTGCTGATGTTCAGGTGTATATCAGTAGGTAGTGTCTCTACTTTAAAGAGTCCTCTCCTGCTGATGTTCAGGTGTATATCAGTATGTAGTGTCTCTACTTTAAAGAGTCCTCTCCTGCTGATGTTCAGGTGTATATCAGTATGTAGTGTCTCTACTTTAAAGAGTCCTCTCCTGCTGATGTTCAGGTGTATATCAGTATGTAGTGTCTCTACTTTAAAGAGTCCTCTCCTGCTGATGTTCAGGTGTATATCAGTATGTAGTGTCTCTACTTTAAAGAGTCCTCTCCTGCTGATGTTCAGGTGTATATCAGTATGTAGTGTCTCTACTTTAAAGAGTCCTCTCCTGCTGATCTTCAGGTGTATATCAGTATGTAGTGTCTCTACTTTAAAGAGTCCTCTCCTGTTGATGTTCAGGTGTATATCAGTATGTAGTGTCTCTACTTTAAAGAGTCCTCTCCTGCTGATGTTCAGGTGTATATCAGTATATAGTGTCTCTACTTTAAAGAGTCCTCTCCTGTTGATGTTCAGGTGTATATCAGTATGTAGTGTCTCTACTTTAAAGAGTCCTCTCCTGATGATGTTCAGGTGTATATCAGTATGTAGTGTCTCTACTTTAAAGAGTCCTCTCCTGATGATGTTCAGGTGTATATCAGTATGTAGTGTCTCTACTTTAAAGAGTCCTCTCCTGCTGATATTCAGGTGTATATCAGTATGTAGTGTCTCTACTTTAAAGAGTCCTCTCCTGCTGATGTTCAGGTGTATATCAGTAGGTAGTGTCTCTACTTTAAAGAGTCCTCTCCTGCTGATGTTCAGGTGTATATCAGTATGTAGTGTCTCTACTTTAAAGAGTCCTCTCCTGCTGATGTTCAGGTGTATATCAGTATGTAGTGTCTCTACTTTAAAGAGTCCTCTCCTGCTGATGTTCAGGTGTATATCAGTATGTAGTGTCTCTACTTTAAAGAGTCCTCTCCTGCTGATGTTCAGGTGTATATCAGTATGTAGTGTCTCTACTTTAAAGAGTCCTCTCCTGCTGATGTTCAGGTGTATATCAGTATGTAGTGTCTCTACTTTAAAGAGTCCTCTCCTGCTGATGTTCAGGTGTATATCAGTATGTAGTGTCTCTACTTTAAAGAGTCCTCTCCTGCTGATGTTCAGGTGTATATCAGTAGGTAGTGTCTCTACTTTAAAGAGTCCTCTCCTGCTGATGTTCAGGTGTATATCAGTATGTAGTGTCTCTACTTTAAAGAGTCCTCTCCTGCTGATGTTCAGGTGTATATCAGTATGTAGTGTCTCTACTTTAAAGAGTCCTCTCCTGCTGATGTTCAGGTGTATATCAGTATGTAGTGTCTCTACTTTAAAGAGTCCTCTCCTGCTGATGTTCAGGTGTATATCAGTATGTAGTGTCTCTACTTTAAAGAGTCCTCTCCTGCTGATCTTCAGGTGTATATCAGTATGTAGTGTCTCTACTTTAAAGAGTCCTCTCCTGTTGATGTTCAGGTGTATATCAGTATGTAGTGTCTCTACTTTAAAGAGTCCTCTCCTGCTGATGTTCAGGTGTATATCAGTATATAGTGTCTCTACTTTAAAGAGTCCTCTCCTGTTGATGTTCAGGTGTATATCAGTATGTAGTGTCTCTACTTTAAAGAGTCCTCTCCTGCTGATGTTCAGGTGTATCAGTATATAGTGTCTCTACTTTAAAGAGTCCTCTCCTGCTGATATTCAGGTGTATATCAGTATGTAGTGTCTCTACTTTAAAGAGTCCTCTCCTGATGATGTTCAGGTGTATATCAGTATGTAGTGTCTCTACTTTAAAGAGTCCTCTCCTGATGATGTTCAGGTGTATATCAGTATGTAGTGTCTCTACTTTAAAGAGTCCTCTCCTGCTGATATTCAGGTGTATATCAGTATGTAGTGTCTCTACTTTAAAGAGTCCTCTCCTGCTGATGTTCAGGTGTATATCAGTAGGTAGTGTCTCTACTTTAAAGAGTCCTCTCCTGCTGATGTTCAGGTGTATATCAGTATGTAGTGTCTCTACTTTAAAGAGTCCTCTCCTGCTGATGTTCAGGTGTATATCAGTATGTAGTGTCTCTACTTTAAAGAGTCCTCTCCTGCTGATGTTCAGGTGTATATCAGTATGTAGTGTCTCTACTTTAAAGAGTCCTCTCCTGCTGATGTTCAGGTGTATATCAGTATGTAGTGTCTCTACTTTAAAGAGTCCTCTCCTGCTGATGTTCAGGTGTATATCAGTATGTAGTGTCTCTACTTTAAAGAGTCCTCTCCTGCTGATGTTCAGGTGTATATCAGTATGTAGTGTCTCTACTTTAAAGAGTCCTCTCCTGCTGATGTTCAGGTGTATATCAGTAGGTAGTGTCTCTACTTTAAAGAGTCCTCTCCTGCTGATGTTCAGGTGTATATCAGTATGTAGTGTCTCTACTTTAAAGAGTCCTCTCCTGCTGATGTTCAGGTGTATATCAGTATGTAGTGTCTCTACTTTAAAGAGTCCTCTCCTGCTGATGTTCAGGTGTATATCAGTATGTAGTGTCTCTACTTTAAAGAGTCCTCTCCTGCTGATGTTCAGGTGTATATCAGTATGTAGTGTCTCTACTTTAAAGAGTCCTCTCCTGCTGATGTTCAGGTGTATATCAGTAGGTAGTGTCTCTACTTTAAAGAGTCCTCTCCTGCTGATGTTCAGGTGTATATCAGTATGTAGTGTCTCTACTTTAAAGAGTCCTCTCCTGCTGATGTTCAGGTGTATATCAGTATGTAGTGTCTCTACTTTAAAGAGTCCTCTCCTGCTGATGTTCAGGTGTATATCAGTATGTAGTGTCTCCATGCTTTAATGTTCAAAAAGCTCTTTATTGTTCTCATACTGCCTGGGCTGCAGCACCTCTTTTCACCCTCTGTCTGAAACCAGGGCCCAGTCTGCTCTGATTGGTTAGCTGTGTTGGTATTTTTGGAAAGTTTACAAATCCAAACAAGAGATATGGCAGTGAAAATAACCGTAGAAACAAGTGTCCTCTTCTGCAGTATGGCACTGTATCATAGAGTACCAATTAACAATATGTGTGTTAGTTTGGCCTTTAGACACAAAAGCACTGGATACTAATTTAGATTCACAATCGGTTATTCAAATAGTCTCCCACCAGGGTGCATTAGAGAAACAAGCTGTTTCTCAAAGGGCAATTCAGATCTAGCTGTATTCTAATGAGACAATCATCCATATCTATGTGTTTACCCCGACCCTCAGAATATCAGAGGCTGCATTGAATCACCAAATATGAATCAACACACCCTGAGGTCTGCAGCTGTCTCTGCATTAAGCACACCTGATGGATGATCCTGCTCATGATGTGCAGCTCTCATACGACAGACACGCAGCCTGTTGCTTCGGAGCGAACAGAAGGACACACATGAACAATAACCTCCAGAAACACACCTCATGCTATCAGGAAAACCAGTCCGGTAAACTGGCCCCCGATCCGCCTCACAAATGGAAAGAACGTCACGCAAAACTCCTTTTAAACATTTGCCATTTTAACTTATCCTGCTTCACTGACAAGCAACAGTTGGATTTATAGAAACATAAAACTCGGATTCTGAATCTGTAGGGCCTGGATTAAATGTCGGCACACACCATAATCAACTAGCATGAATTATGTGAACATGATTTTTACTTTTATATCTAATTCGCATTGGCCCTCCGCCCTCCGCGGTGCATCTTAACGGGAAAACATGGAACTAATCAGAAAGCTGAGCAGCGATAAAGTTACATTTTTACACAAAATAAAGAAGTGAATGTGACTTCTATATACGCCGAATTAAAGAATACCCTTTAAACATTTGACAGCCGTATTTTTATTTATTTTACATGTTGTCTCATGTCTCTAATAACCACAGGAACATTAAATCGTTATTATTTAATGGCGCCTGGCTTCACGTTCCCTGTGAAAACATCACGCATCACCTGAACTGACAGACACCCAGCACATATTCATTAGGATCATCATGAACACACACAATGAGAAAATACATGTTTCACATCCTGCAAAATCTGAAGATCAGAAACATGGGACATTCCTGCAGAACAGCAGCGAGCATAGCGGAGACATTACAGCAGACAGGCAGATGAGCAACAGGCGACACACACACGCACATTGACACACACTCACACATTGACACACTCACACAAAGACAGACACACTCTCACCTGCAGACAGTCATCAGCTGTGTTTAAATCCCAGTCAGAGGATCCTGATGGAGATCCGCTCTGAGAGGAAGAGTCGCAGTGAGAATCACATCTTTTACCTTTCAGTGTGAATCCTGCACAGTGAATGGGAGAAAGGGAGGGGTCTTCTGTGTGTGAAGACACCTGGGGGAGAGGAGACCACTTCCGGTCCAGACTTTCAGAGTAAAACCATGGTGAAAATCAGTGTGAGGTTAAATCAATCTGTGTGTGAGATCAAACATGAAGTGAGAATGACCAAAATATATATAATTACACTCAGGTTTTGTTCCCAGGTTCAGGTTCTGTAAGCCAAGACTACTAAACACCTGCACTCTGTAAATAACATCCATTAACATTCATCTGTTTACATCTTGCACATTATTTATCTAATACATCATATTCCATTTACTTGTATATCGACTTCTTGCACTATTTCTATTTTATTTATATTAACTTGCACATCTCAAAACATCCTCTATGCCCCTTTCACACCAACGCGTTTTCAGCTCCGGCTCGGAGCTGGAGCCTGAAAAGTGCCGGTTTCTCCTGTTCACACCGCAGCGGCGCCGCCTCTTACTGTAGCTCCAGAATCCGGTTCACTTCCAGCTCCAAAAAATGGTCGGTCTAGAGGCAAGAGCTTCGGAGCTAAGAGGTGGCGTCGCTTACGTCTCTCTTACGTCGAGGCGTGCAGGAAACTAAACCCACCTCCCCGGCTAAGGGGAACTGGGGATATGTATCAGCTGCTTGTGTGAGTCGGACAGTGAATACTTTAGAGCGGCCGCTGCAGTGTGAGCTAACCGGGAGCTAACGGGGGAGAATAAACTCCCGTGGAAGAGCAGCCAACACTGCAGCGGTCGGTAAATGCCGCAGAAACACATTAATAAACAATGAAATGCCTCTGGTTAAAGTCACAAATGACATTCTAATAGCCTCTGACAAGGGACGTGTCTCTATTCTTGTTTTGCTCGATCTCAGTGCTGCATTTGATACTATCGACCATGATATCTTATTGCAAAGACTAGAGCACTTAGTTGGCATACAGGGAACTGCTTTAGACTGGTTTAGGTCCTATCTATCTGAACGCTCTCAGTTTGTACGTGTCAATGATGAATCTTCCACGCAAACCAAAGTTAGCCATGGAGTGCCACAGGGCTCAGTGCTCGGACCTATTTTGTTCACATTATATATGCTTCCGTTAGGCAATATTATAAGGAATCATTCTGTAAACTTTCATTGTTATGCGGATGATACTCAACTATATTTATCAATCAAGCCTGATGAAATTAATCATCTAAATAAAATTCAAGACTGCCTCAAGGACTTAAAAACGTGGATGACCTTAAACTTTTTGATGTTAAACACGACCAAAACTGAAGTTATTGTACTTGGCCCGAAGAATCTACGAAACAAATTATCTAAGGATATACTAACTATGGATGGCATTAATTTGGCCTCCAGTGAGACTGTAAGGAATCTTGGTGTTATATTTGATCAGGATTTATCCTTTAACGCCCACATAAAATCAATTTCAAGGACCGCCTACTTCCATCTACGTAACATTGCAAAAATCAGGCATATCTTGCCTCAAAACGATGCAGAGAAACTAGTCCATGCATTTATTACTTCAAGGCTGGATTATTGTAACTCTTTATTATCAGGGTGTACCAAGAAGTCAGTCAAGTCGCTTCAGCTGATTCAAAATGCTGCGGCTCGTGTACTAACCACAGTTAGGAAAAGGGACCACATTACTCCTGTTCTGGCTGCCTTACACTGGCTCCCTATAGAACACAGGATAGAATTTAAAATTATTCTTCTCGCCTACAAAGCCCTTAATGGGCAGGCGCCATCTTACCTTAAATAACTCATTATACCCTACTGTCCTACTAGGGCATTGCGTTCCAAGAATGCAGGGTTGTTGGTTGTTCCTAGAGTCTCTAAAAGTACAATGGGAGCCAGAGCCTTTTCTTATCAAGCTCCACATTTGTGGAATCAGCTTCCAGTTTGTGTTCGGGCGGCAGACACCCTATCCGTTTTTAAGAGTGCGCTTAAGACCTTCCTTTTTGATAAAGCTTATAGTTAGGGCTGATTAGATCCAGCCCCTAGTTTTGCTGATATAGGCTTAGTTTGTCGGGGGACATCTTACTTCTTCCTTCTCTCTGTCTATACCTGTGTACTCTCATGTTCCGATTAACCCAGCTTCCCCAAATGTCTTTCTTTTTGGTGTCTATATACGCCGGGATCCGGAGTCATGGATGATCCTGCGCTCCTCTGTCCTGGATCGCGAGCCCTGGATCTTGAGTCGTGGCTGTGGTCCTGGATCATAGGTCCTGGATGGATATCCTCGTGGATTCATCTTACTATTATACACACATGCATTTCCAAACATTTGGACTACCTATGTTGCAAATGTATTATCTTTTCAATTTACACACGGCATCTATTGCACGTCTGTCCGTCCTGGGAGAGGGATCCCTCCTCTGTTGCTCTCCCTGAGGTTTCTCCCATTTTTCCCTTTAAACTGTGGGTTTTCTCCGGAAGTTTTTCCTTGTACGATGTGAGGGTCTAAGGACAGAGGGTGTCGTATTGTCATACTGATATTTTGTACAAACTGTAAAGTCCACTGAGACAAATGTAACATTTGTGATATTGGGCTATATAAATAAACATTGATTGATTGATTGAACCACGGCACTCTGGAGCAAAGTATTAGGTTGGAGAAGTCGTTATTTAATTTAATCTGGCTTCGTGTGATTAAAAGCAACACGATCATCGACCCGACGCAGTTCCCCGTTGTTGTTGTTGTGAGCGCCGTAACGCCGTTGACGGTGACGTCATGACGCAGCAGCGGCAGCACCCATCGGGCTCTGGGCGGTGTGAACAGAGCGGGAGCAGAAAAGGGAAACCGGAGCTGAACCAGAAAAGCTCCCGCTCGGAGCTAGAAAGGGAAAAGCGCTGGTGTGAAAGCCGCATAAGGTACGTCCACAGCGGCTTTGGAAAAAGCTTGCCAGCGGGCGTGTCTGAAGCTCGACCAACAACCAATCACATGAATGTAGTCGTAGTAGTAGAACCTTTATTTATCCAGGAAAATCAATTAAGAACAAATTCTTATTTACAATGATGACCTGACAGGAAGCAAAGGCTTCCTGAGGGGATGGGGTTTGGGAGGAAAACAAATAAAAAGACAGACTCCGGGCACTACAGAACCCAGGAGACAAACATAGAGCAAAGATGACAGGCATAGCAGTTAAACATATAAAAACTCTAAAACAATATTGCTGTGGTTCAATCAGTCATTAAAATCAGCATCAGGCAAAGCAGCTGCATGTGTGCATCAGGGTGTCAATAATAGTGACATTGAAGGTGCGGGGGAGACAAAGGTTTCCATTTCAACGTTTTTTGAAAGACATTCCAGCTATCTGCTGCTTCAACCTGAAAGGCGGAGCGGCCAAAGGATGTATGGGCTTTGGGGATCTTTAACAGGATGCTTGTAGCTGACCGGGTGTTGTGCGTCGGGGGTGGGCGGAGTTGCAGTAATTGTGTGAGGTAGAAGGGGGTGAGGCCTAGGAGTGTTTTGTAAACAAACATCAGCCAGTGGATGTTGCGTCTGAATCTCCCGCCCCCGACATACAAAGCAATAGCAATGTTAAAACGAAGTAAACTGGATATAAAATCCCCAAACAGGCGAAAACCTACCAGTTTCACCCACTGTCTCTGCCTCCTCCCTCCATGCCTCGCTCCTCCGGTTTGTATCCCGGTAGATGAACAGAGACTGATCATACAGCACCGGGTGATTCACTACCGCTATAATGAATTTTCCCTCCATTTTTTGGAATATGAGGAAATTACCTGCGTAGTCTCTCCCAGCATACACGCGGTTTGATTGGCTAGCGCTTGTACTGGCAGATTTACATAAACGGGATTTCATTGGCTGACGCCTCCGTCGAGGCGTCAAAAGTTGAACATTGCTCAACTTTTGAAGCCAGCAATGCCAGCAACGCTCCACGTCGCTTCCCAAAATGCAGTTCGGCTAAAAGTGACGTCACCCCATTCAAAGTGAATGGAAAGAAACTTGGAAGATTTTTTTTAACGCTGTTGTGTGGACGGACCGTACAATTGTATCAGTTTTATGTCCTATATGTTGCTCTGTTGGAGGAGGACTTCAGTTTGTCATTGCCATATCTGCACTGAAGCTGCTTCATGATGATAAAGCTTTGAATCTTGAATCTTGAAAATGTAATCTTTATTTGTTCCAGGAGGTAGATTTGGGTTGAAGATAACAAGTTAATTTATACAGCACCTTTCAACACAAGGCAATTCAAAGTGCTTCACAAAAACTGAGAGACATTACGAGCATTAAGAAATAGTGCAGCGGGAACACCTTATAAAGACAGCAAAGGCAATCAAATAAACATAAAACAAGCTAATGTAATATATTCATATTCAAAGCCTTTAATGTCATATAAACAAAGTTACTCAATGCGAGACCTCTGGATATAAAAGGTGAAGATTGTGTTGACGTCTATGAAAAAGGACACACCTTCACACTTACCTCAGATCATATTTTCCTGATGAGTGGATGGTCTTAATCTCGAGTTTAGAAATGATAACTTTACCCCTCGCTCGAATAATATGGTTCATTTCTGGTAGATGCACTTCATATGTTTTTAAGGGTCTAAACATTTGTACATGATTGCTGCAAGCCAAACAGCTAAGAGCAAAATGTAAAAATGAAGCTATGTCGTTCCGAAATATGTCTTTTTTCTTTTATTCAATTTCTTTAAAACCATCTCCCGCCCCTCCAGGTTGAGAACCACAGAGTTAAATATACTCTCTGCCCCTTAAGTGGCTTATTCTGTGCTTTTATTTTGAAATGCGACCCCTCAGTTTCCGGGTGTTTCGGCCTCTCTGCAGCAGCTTGATTCAGCTCCATGCTCAGAACAGATAACATGAATGAAAACCATCTGGCAGACAGGCAGGAAACCTCCATGTGTGACTTTAAGCACAATTCATTTAGCAAGAACAGATCTATATTATCATTATGTGTATTGCAGTGTTGTTGCTGCTGCTGTGTTTCTTTTGGGGGGGGGGGGGGGGTTATTTAAAGGGTCCACAGCAGCTGG